AGTAATGCCCAATTTTGATCCTATAACTAATACTTAAATAAATATGTATTGCTTACCCTCTTATAGCAATTTGTAAGGCAAATTTTTTTTTTCTTTAACTTTCTATAAAGTATTTGCAAAAAAAAATCTAAGTATAATATAAGCATGACTGGCACTTTAATAACAGACAAAGACAAAAAAAAATCCTAGCTTATATTGAATATATAAGCATCCAATAAGTTGCACAAAAAATAAAGTATAACTTTATTACAATTTGAAGGTTTTTTACTAAGTACCAGAAAACCAAGAATATATTAAATTTGCCAAGATTTAGAAAACCTTATGCTCTTAATGATTAAAAAAAAATGCTTTAGTAGAAGCAGTTCTAAAAAAAAAAAAAACTTTTTGTGTAATTTTGTTAATAATTTAAAGCTTAAGTGCAGTTTAAAAACTGCTTTTTAAGCTTTGCAAAGTTTTGATGTTTGGTCTTGTATAGCAGCAAAAAAGCTATTTCTTAAGAAATATAATATAAAAAAAAGATTTGAATAGTATTAACAAAACATATCAAAAAGTGCTTATGATTAGCAACATGTAATTTTTTCTAATGAAATGTTTGTTAAGCTTGATAAACAATTACACCAAATTCTAATATGTGTCTCAAAGATAAAAGGCATAAAAATAAGTGCTTAATTCTGAGTTTTAAGAGTAATAGATAGTTAGTAATAATATAGAATTGTTTTGTTGATAGAATCAAGTATTCTCTTGTTTTTTTTAATAAGTACAAATGACTAAAAGAAAAAATTAATAAAAAAATATATATTAAACTTTTGAAGAATTATTTACAATCATTTTATAAAAGAACTAAAGCATCTCATTTATTAGTAAGTGCAAAAATAATATTTTGGCAAGACAATGCATGATATATAAAGTATCTAATTGACTTGAAACCAAAAAAACTCTAAATTGAACTAGTATACAAGATTTTCTAATTTTAATTTGATCAAAAATATTTGGAAACTATTGAAAAATAATATTCAGAATCAGAAAAATTTTCTAAGAGAAATAGATAATCTCAAAATTATTTTAAAAAAAGTAATCAAAATTAGATATATTAGTTTTTTTGAAATTTGTAAACTTAATTTTAGAAAGGATTGAAGCAGTATTAGAAGCAAAAGAAAGGCATTGCAAATATTGATTAGCTAGGAAAAAAAATATATATATATATTGTAAAAATGAAAAAAATCATATATTTGATTGCAATTTTATTTAATAAAAAAATTAGGTATTAATTTTGCTAATAATTGTATATTGATCAGTTCTAATATTAGTTATTAAGCTATTAGTATAGAAGTTAAATTGTTATTAAAAGGTATTAATAATTAAATATTGTTTAAATGTGTTTGTTGCTTCATTAGTTTTGAATATTTCAAATACAAAAAAAGTTAGAAATTAAAATTATTAAGACTAAAGAAATTGATAATAGATGTTTAATAGCTATTAAATAGATAATATCTATATAGTTAGCATTGAAATTTACTAAATTAAAGTTAATTTTTTTTAAATATTAGAAAGAAATGATAGCTGATATATTAACTAGATATAGATTTTGAATTTTATTAAAGTTTAAATAATAGTCTAGGCAGAGTAAACATTAGGCTAATGAAAAAGAATAATAATCTAAATAGTTTATATTAATATTAGTTTGCCAATATGTAATAGATATTTAATTAATATTTTTGAAATATTTGCAGATTTTATTTTATTTTTTATTTTTTTATTTTTTTAAGGTGACCTCTTTGGTCTTTTAACTTTTATTAATCACTTATTGGTATTGTGATTCAATAAACCATTACAGAAGAGTATACAATTGGCTACATGTATAACTTTTTTATATTACCTATTTAAAGAGTCTGCCTGAAGGTTCCCAACTAATTGCTATACCTAACACCTCTGCTTGGGTGTTCCACTTTAAACCTTCTGAACCTGTAATCTGTGTTAATATCACTAGTCATTTCAGATGCCCAGATTATCATTCTTAACCTTAGAACTAATTTATTCTTGAGATAAACCCTTCAGAGCCTTCTGTACCTATTTTTATGAATGATCCAAGGTGGCCTCCAAAAATGCAGTACATTGGATCATTATAGTGCAGAAACGATACATATATATAGAGAGATTGTAGTGCAATTACGATATATAAAAATTACTTGATAATTATTATTTCTGTTAAAAAATTTTTAGTACTTGGTACTTTGAATGCTTTGCTTTGGTAAAAAATACCAAAAAACTTTTTCAAGATTACAAATATTAATATTTTATTTGTATTTAATAACTTAGTTATCATAAATTAGAGTTTATACTATAGAATCTATCTACAACTAATAGGACCCACCTTATAACTTATTTTTTTAGAGTTCATGTTATAAATAATTATTAATGAAATTTAATTACTTAATACTATAGGATCTTCTGCCTTACTAGCTGCTACATTCTCTGCAACCTCTGAATTATTTGAGCATGATAGGTACATAAGATAGAGTTTTTTACTTTTTGAACCCCAAGTAGTTTGTTGATATTTCATTCTTTTTACAGTTTGTATTTCTTCTTCTATTAGCACTAATCTGCTCCACTCTATCATAGCATAAATGTGAAACTAATTATTAGCTGTTTGCTTAATACAAATTCGTTTTATTGCCTGTTCAAATAAGACCCAATTCTCTTCCATATATAAACGAGTATCTTCTTCAGGATCAACAACATTACTACATTCTAGAACTTCAATAAGTTCAATAATTATAGATAAAACACTTTCTGTAAAAACTTCTTCATTACTAAGATTCTTTATAATTAAAAAGGAAGGAGTAGTTCAACATTCAAAATCATCTTTAAGTAGTCATTATCATGTACCATCAGGCATATTTATAACTTGCCATACTAAATGCTTATATATTAGAAAGTGATTTCTAACAAATGATAGACAACTACAAATCCAATGAAAAACTCGAGTGAAGTATAAACCAACTGAATTAGATAAGTTAGTTGTCTTTGTATTAGTATGCTTTCTTTTATCCTTCTTATTTGAATTTATTTCTTTTCTTTGTTCTTCACTTGCACCTAAATATTTCCATTCTCTTTTAAAGCTCTCCCACTAATATGGATTTACTGTGCCATTTAAAAGTTGTAATAACTAATCCTTTTGTGATGAAATTATCTTAGTGAATAGTTCTAAAATAGAAGATCCAACCTAGGGTCATTAAACCATTGAAGATAAAGTTATTTGATAACTCCCCAGTAAGCTTTGATTTTCATAGTTGTTTTCTTTAGAAAAGATAATAATAAAAACAAAACTTTAATAATATTTAATTTGAATTTAATGTAATTATAATAAAAATTTCTACCTAAAGGTATTGTAGTTTTGGCAGATTGAGCTCACAAAATCCATTGATTAGGTGAGTACCAATTTGTTCAGAGGTATGCCCACAATAATCGCAACTCATTTCTTATACAAAATTTATAAATCTCTTTTACAGCATGTTTTCTAATATCTGCTGATGATATAGTATCCCCTTGAGCATTAACAAGTATGAGAGGATGCATGTCAAAATGATTTTTTATAAGTTTTAAAATTGGCTTCTGACACTCTACCGAACAAATAATATAACTTTGTGAGTTGCGATCATTTTCTGTAGGATAAAATGCTGAGTCAATAAAGTCAAACTTATGTGCTGCCTGATAAGCATTATAGACTACAGATATTAAATTTTTTTTTTTTTGACAGCTTTGCCTTTTCTATTAACTTTCGCTTTAGAGCCCACTCCATATGCTAGCAGCAAAGTTGAACTTTTAAAGGTCTCTACACATTGATTACCACATTTATTTCTCTGAAATCCTTATCTGTAAATATAAAATCTGGTTCAACATCACATCTTTTTACTGCTATATGAAAAGCTTTTAAGATTTCATAACACATCCCTGTACTAGTATCTGTGTTTTCAGCTTTTGTAGTATCTAGCACTAAATAAGCAATTGGAAGTCCAGCACTTTCAATATCAACTACTATATCATAAAGCTTATAGCAACCTCTTACAGTTCTATATATTGCATCCATATAAGCCTCTGTTATATTAATATTATTATTTTTAATTATATCTAACAGTGGGGTAATAAAACCAATTGTTACAGCTTCAAAATTTCGAATATAAAGACACTGGCAAAAGTCTTTATTTTCATGTTCTTCAAGCAATTTATATACTGATTCAACAGGATCAGCATAACACTGAAAATTATTCTTACTTGTCATAGATTTCCAATAATATATACATTTAGATAAAAACTTGGAAATATCAAATTCCTTATGTCGGAATAGTTGATTAATTGAGTTGTGGTAAGGTTTGCATAGTTATTAATTTCTTTTCATATTTCAGGAGGCATTTCAGCAATAAGGTCTGGCCTTCATGAAGAAATTTATGAAGAATATCTATCGCTGCAATACCATGTGACATGTCAACCCTTACAACAATTTTACCTTTACAATTATATCTTTCATATCATTTTCGATTTGAATTCTTATATGCATCATTTTGTGCTTCTAGTGACTAACAGTATATGTATGTAAATTTACTGACTGTATTACTAGACTTCTTAGGAAAATTAGCTTTTTTAAAACTATAGTAATATATATTATAAATGTTTTAATTAGAAAATACTATTAGAAAATACTTTTTATTAAAAATCGAGATTATAACTAAATTTTTAAAAAAACTAAAAATTTTAAAATTATATATATTAAAATAGGATGGATTTCGATATTATTAGATTTCATCATTAGTAACAATGTTGTTCACCCAAAATTGGGTTCTATTAAGTATTTATTTTATTATTAGAAGCAAATTTTTTTTTTTTATAAACAAAATAATTTAAATTATGCTTTACTACTTAGCAAATATATTAATTATTGAAAGGCATTATAACTAGAATCAATGTCTTTTAATTAACTTTAGTAATAAGATAGATACTTACTTCTATGAATAATCATCTTCTCTTTCAATCTCAGTAATAATAAGATTGGAAACTTCTTTTAATGTCATAATTTGGGTTTCAATGTCTAGACAAACCAGTAATTTTGACTTATAAATTGGTTCAATGACTTTATCTATTTCTGGATTATCTGTTAGCCCTCGAATTTCATGTTCAACAAAGTCACTTAATTTGAGAAAGCTATGATCAACATATGTGGCATTATCAATCTTAATATGTATGATATTATTAACCTTAGTCTCTTAATTTGAATTTTTTTCTTGGCCAAACTTCTTTTTTTATTATATTTATCATTACTTTTTTTGCAGTTAATACATGTATTATGATATTTACCATTCCAGAAAAACTGGTCAGCAGAGTAAATACCTCCACATCTAGTGCACTCCATTTTGGTGTTAATACAAAATTAGAGTTGATTTAACAAGTGAAATTTTTTTTTTTTTTTTTTTAACATGAAATGGCATACTAATAAGTAAAATTTAAAACTGCAATATTAGGATGAATTTAGTATTGATTCAAAATATTTGGTTTTTGATGAAGTTTTAATATGAGGTCTCAAATGCTTAGTAAAATAGATAAGACTTAATTAACCTTTAACCAACTTTTACTTGATATAGAGCTTAAAATATAGGTATTTATAAAAAAAAATGTAGTAAAGACAAACGATAATTGTTTATGATTCTCGACAATGACATTGATAAGTTAGGGAGATGATGCTAATTATAAAGTCGATCTGAGTCTATTAATAAGTTAGAGAAATATGCACTGTATAGTATCCAGACTTATGCAAGTTTGAAGATTTTCTATTGTATAAACAATGTCAAATTCTCTGAAATCATATAAGTTTTAACACTCTAGTGCACTGATTATAATATTGAGCAAAAGATGATTGATGCAAAAACAAAAATATATAAGGCTCAATTACGTTTGCAATTAATTGAAAACATTGAACAAAAAATCTGAGATTGTAGACAAAAGTAAATGTTACGATAATAAGATATGTAATAATTTAATGTATTAAATATAATCTACAAATATGATTTTATGTAATCAAAGAATTGAATTTTTTTATTTTTTATTTATTTTTTAAATAAGTTTCAGACACTTTCAAGCGACTTCATAAGATTGCTAGTGAAGTTATAATTTGGTTATAGGTTTTTTAAGATCCTTAGAAAAAAAATAGGTATTTAATATTGTAAGTGCAAGGTATTACATCATTTTTTATTTATTTTACTCATCTATTTTTTTTTTACAAAAATAAACAAAATATATTTTACAAATAAAAAATATTCTATAAAAAGAAACTGCAATTCATGATGATTACATAAAAAGATTGACAATTACTTTAGCAGTTACACTAATGAATTATTTTATTTTAATATTTGTGATTTTTAATCAATTAATTTAATAAATACAGTTGGTTCTAGTATAAACAAACATATTATTTATATCATTATTTATTATTATTTAAATTATCTAATTTATTATTTTAATAACATCAAGAAACAATACATTTTGTTTAATAACTTTGAGAAATAATATACTGTTTAATAAAGAAATAGAAATATACTCTTTTTACAATAATAAACAATACATTTAATATGCTTATTTAATCTACTATATTTCAATCAGGAAAAAGAATCATGATGCTTACCAAGAGCTAGATATCTTTGAGAATAATTTAAAGTTATTCTTATTTATAAATAAAGAATTCGAAAATGCAAATTATTACAATTTACTTGATTAATCCTTTTAAAATTTCTAACTCACTTCAGATCCTCGGACTTTTTTTTTTACATGGCATATAACAGTCTTAAAAGCCAGACCTCGGGTTATATATATACAAGAGCAAATTTAATTTCACAGTTATTTAAAACTTTTGTTGCTACATCATCTGAAATAATAAAGACAAGCCAAAACTTACAAAAGCTTATTGTTGAAATAGTAATATTTATTTGTATATTAGAATTTTGAACTGCTTGACAAAAAATTAATTGATTAATTAGGAAAGTAAAAAACTGTAGCAACTAAATAACAATATATCTTACTAAATGAATCTTAATTCATTTTTTCTATATGTTCATACAACTTTGTAAATTAATTACTAATACTCGTAAAAAGAAGTTAGTATATCTAAAATATTGAATAGAAGGTCAAGTAATATGTGCTATTATGTTAGTATGTTTAAAAAATAAGTGATAACTGATCGATGAAATATACAGTGTTAAATCGATGCTGTGGCTATGCTATGATCTACATTACTGCATTTTTGGGGGCCACCCTAGATGATTCCATTTTTATAGCTAATCTAGGTATCGCTATGGCAGAACTAACACTTGTGGTTAGGGCTAATCATTAAACTACTATGCCCTTGTAGAGTTTACTTAGATCTCAGCATCTACTTTATAGCATAACCCCAGTACTTTAGTATACTTCTGCCTTTTCTCCTGCCCTTTTATCAAACTTCCAATCCAGATAGTCTGTGTAGAACTATGACCAGTCTATTGGTATATTAGGTCAGCCTGATATCCTTTTCTTCTGGTTTATTCTAGTGGCCTGGTTGATAGTACTTCTGAGACTCCCAACTCAGAGGTTCTTGCCTGTTCAACTACTAGGACCGAGTACTAGACCTGAGTATCCATTTTACCAGACTAGCCTTTACAGTAGGGCCATCGAAGATTCAGCTACCTCTCTACTCAGGTCTTCTTAAATAGACTTCTTGTTACCCAATTTTAACAGATTTATATAGCTACAAGGACTTATTTAGTGTTTGCACCATCCAATTTGTCAGTTTGCATTCCTTCATATAACTTCAACATTGCACAGATGCCCCATAACCTGCCAGTCATGCTGGTGTGATTGCAATTACAGGTATCCTAACCCAATCATTAGTAACAGTTGTCATAATATGAATATTACATAGATAATTATTCAAATTTTCATCATCGATGAGATTTGAACACCCAAACTACCCTTGGAGGGTTGACAACTTGACCATTTCACTAGGTCGCCACATCCTATTTGCAGATTTTATTCATAATAATCTTATTATTATTATATATAAATAACTAAAATAAGAAGTATAGTAATCTAGTGAAGTGGTTAGATTATTAATTTCTAAGTAGCAGATCTAAAGTTCAAATCTCAGTGTTAGCAAAAATTTGAAATTCTTTCTGTATTATAGTTAACTGTCTTTTATTTTTAGTTAAGATTAAATATTTGTTATCTGTGTTATATTAGTATAATATTTGTATAATAATTATATCTTATATAAAGAAATATAAACTAGTACTAAATAGTATGAACTTATAATAAGTCCTTATGACTATATAAATTATAGAAACCAGAAAGACAGAAGCCTACTTGAAAAACCTTAATAGAAAAGTAGCTTAAACTTTTGACAGTATTACTATAAAGACTAAACTTATAAAATAGAACTAAAACTTATAAAGCTAGATAAAGCTAAGTCAGTCTTTAAAAAAAGGTTGTTGTAACTAGTTAGGTTGTTAGAATTTGTTTTAGAGAAAAAGGTTATATGTTAAAAGATCATATAAACCTAAAATATAGTTGTATTTATCTTTTTAGACTATCAAAACTGAAAGTTTAATAGAACTTAAACTAAATATCAAAGTAGTATAAATATGTTATAAAATAAATATTAGAATTAAAGTAAACTTTACAAGAGTATAGCAGTTTAATAACATGTCCTAACTGCAAGTGTTAGTTTCAGCTATAGTATTATCAAATCAGTTATAATATAAAAGATTCTAAAAGATTTAGTACAAGATTAAAGGTTTTCTATATAAGTGAATTGCTTTAAAAACTTAGTAATCATAACATATAGTTATTTCTTTATATAATCATCTTTATACAATCACAAACTCTATATAATCATACAATTTTATGTTATCAATTATTTTATTATTAAAAACTCTATTTTATAATCACAAATAGCTTATAATCACTATTATATTTTTTTCAAATTAGTTGAACAATTTTGATAATAAACCTACTTTTTTATAATTATATTTATATATAATTATAAATAATTTCTATATAGATAAGTCAAATATTTATTAATTAAATCAATCTTTATGTATTAAGTAAAGTTGTTTAGAAGAATAAAATATATAAATTCTAAAGTTTTTATACAAATTGGATAAACTTTTATTAGTATACTTTTTATTTTATGTATATGTGAATAGAATTAAAAATTTTAATTTTTTTTAATAGAAATGTAAAATAAAAAAGTGCATTAATAAACATTTGACTAATTTACATAAAAATTTCAAAATACATGCAGTTTACTTTTCTGAACAACTTTATTTATTGCATAAAAGTTAATTTATTTAGTAAATATTTGACTTCTATATATAACAACAACTGTTAATTATATATAAAAATTTTTTAAAAAACTTTTTATATATAATTACTAATTATTGTTATATATATAAGTCAAATATTAGGAGTGTAGTGATCTAGTAAAGTGGTCAGGTTGTCAACTCTCCAAGTGGTAGGTTGGGTGTTCAAATTTCATCGACAGCAAAAATTTGAATAATCACCTATGTAATATTCGTATTATAGCAACTGTTATTAATGATTGGATTAGGATACCTGTAATAGCAGTCATACCAGCATGACTGGCAGGTCATGGAGCATCTGTGTAAGTATGGCATTACACAGAGGAATACAAATCAACAAATTGGGCAGTGCAAACACTAGATAAGTCCTTGTAACTGTGTAAATCTGTTAAAATTAGGTAACAAGAAGTCCATTTGAGAAGATCTGAGTAGAGAGGTAGCTGGATCTTCGATGGCCCTACTGTAAAGACTAACCTGAGAAAACAGATACCAAGGTTGTGGTATTCGGTTGTAGTAGCTAGACAGACAAGAACCTCTGGGTTGAGAGGCTCAGAGGTACCACCAACCAGGCCTGCTAGAACGAACCAGAAGAAAAGGATATCAGGCTGACCTGATATACTGATGGACTGGTCATAGTCCTACACAGGCTATCTGAATTGGAAGTTTGGTAAAAAGGCTGGACAAAAGGCAGGGGTA